GTGTGTGAATGTGTGGATGACTGGATATGTAAAGCGCTTTGGGGTCCTTAGGGACTAGTAAAGCGCTATATAAATACAGGCCATTTACCATTTCCAGCCAACCCAGGTGGCCTTGCATGGAATGGGAAACACAGTCGTTATCAGGGTGGTTTTGTTCGGCTCCAGCCGAACAAATCTCAAAAACTCTTGAAATAGTAGTTGTCAAAAAACATGAAAACTGATCATCTGCAGCGAAATTGGTCAGCTTTAAGAAAAGTCACTGAAAAGCACTGCAGTCACTGAAAAGTCACTGAAAAGCACTGTAGAAAAGTCCGAAAGCCATATTGAACAAATATGCTGGACTGTTTTCTTGCATCTGTGCAATATCTCTGAAATTTGAAAAATCCTGTTTCAGAATAATGTTGAAAAACTAGTTCATGCATTTCTAACTTCTAAAAAATTCTCTAAAAGACTTCAGTTGATCCAAAATGTTGCAGTGAGAGTACTGACTAAAAAGAGAGAGTATATTTCTCTGGGACTGGCTTCTCTTTATTGGCTCCCTGTTACATCACATACAAGCTCTTAAATACTCAGGCCCCGCCTTCTCTTAAAGACCTCATAGTAATTTAGCACCTCAGTAGGGCACTTAGAGCTCTCTTACTTGTGGTTCCTAGGTTATTTTAAAGTAGAATGGGAGGCTGAACCTTCTGCTTTCAGGCCCCCCTTCTGTGGGTTCGATTTCTGGCGCCAGACAAACATTGTCATTTTTTCTTTGATTTTATGTTTGGTACATCTTCATTTAAAGCACTGCAGTTATGCCATATTCCTATGAATTATGTAGTCAATATTTCATGCTAAATTTATAACAGAAAATTGGAATAAGCAAAAGTGATAAAGTGTGTGTATGCTTTTATTTCAGGGTTTCTATGACGAAGTGGCCAGCCCTCTACTTTTAGAGGTGGACATGCACTATCCTGACAATGCAGTGGATTCTCTGACCACCAGCCACTTTAGCTACTTGTTTAATGGCACAGAGATTGTTGTGGCTGGCCATTTAATTGACGACAACCTTGACAACTTCCTGGTGGAAGTGGTTGGACAGGGGGTGAGGAAAAAAAGAAAAACACAAAAAATGGCAGAAACATTGAGACATTGAGTAGACATAGCCTATATTTATTTGTTTTACTCTGGTTTATATGGATTTTATCTTTTGTTTCTCCTGAAGCTCGAAGAAGACTTCAGAGTCCAGGGTCAGGTGAGTGCCGCAGACTGGGATGTTTTTTACCCAGACGAGGAGTACATCTTTGGAGATTTTACCGAGCGGTTGTGGGCCTACCTCACTATCCAGCAGTTACTGGACAAGAGGTCAGTTTAAATCAGTTCAGTTTGGCTGCTAAGGCACATTGTTCTCATAAGAAATATGGTATGATATATAGTCTTTGATGACACTTGTTCTTTTACCAGGACGCTCATTTTAATCATTTGATGTTCTTTTATAGATTTCCCTGTAGTAATACATATATTTTCCTTCTGGCAGCAAGAGCGGTACACCAGATGAGAAAGCCAACACAACAGCCAAGGCCCTGGATATGTCCCTGCAGTACAGCTTTGTCACCCCTCTCACATCCATGGTTGTTACCAAGCCCGAAACCGAAGACTCGACAAGCAGCCCTCTTATTGCTGACAAGCTGACTGAAGGTACCTGGAGAAAACAGAGTTTAAAAATGTAAAACACTGGACTGGCTTTTCTTAAAGAGACAAAAACTATATTGACTGATGAATCGGAGGGGTGTGTGTGCGTGTGGTTGTGTGTGTTTGTCAAGTGTCACTTTGAAATGGCTGCAGTCAAGCTTTACCACAAAAGCAAAGCATGGCTGCAGCTCATTCATGAAGAGAACTGGTGACTGAGTTTACATTTTCCACATATTATTCCTCTTTAGTGAAGTATACCAGCAGAAGCTGGAGCTCCAGTTTAAAACTGTTATCTGTCTGTTTTTTCTCACAGAGCAAAGACAGCAGGCTGAAAAAATGAGTAAGTGGTTTTTTTTTAACGATAAATCACAAAAAAGATTTATGGGACAAAGTCAATTTGTTGTATTCGTGTTGATTTGGATTTTATTCTCCCTGTTCAAAGCACATAATTATATACCTGCGCAGCCGCATCCACGGCATTACCAGCCAGCACCCACATATTTTGGTAAGTACATCATATACAGTTCAGATAGGATAGATTGTGCTCCAGCTATGACGTCTGACTTTGCTGATCTGCATTAAGAGGCACAGTTAACTAGATAAAATGCCATGGCATCTTTCACAAACATAGGAGGACTTGGTGACTGCTTGAGTTTAAATTTGGTGCCACTTTAAATTATTGCTAATTATTATTTCAAGTCCTGCTGCACTAACTGGTCCAAAGATGTGTGGAAATGCTCTTCATTGCTCTCAGATAATGAATATCTGTATGTTCTTTACGATAAATCACAAAAAAGATTTATGGGACAAAGTCAATTTGTTGTATTCGTGTTGATTTGGATTTTTGTTCTCCCAGTTCAAGAATATGATTATGATGATTCGTCCATAGAGTCGTATTCATGGGATTACGATCTAAGATCGGTTTATTTTGGTAAGTACACCATATACAGTTCAGATAGAGTTATCTATACTCAATTTCTATCTTCAAGCTGGATCTTTATTGCTTTATTGCCTTGTTTTTCAATATTTATTACTCTTTCTTATTTTGTTTTTCTTCAGATTGCAAATGGATTTAATCATATTTTATCTGGTTTATAGGCCTCTTTTATTTTATTTCCCTAAATAGATGCTAAAAATGACAACCTCAAAAATGTATGTAATCTATTATTAGAATCAATTGTCTTCCCGCAAAATGTAAAAGAACCCACCCATCACTGTAATCACACTCAAGATCTTGTTCTGACATATGGCATAGACATTGAACATAACAGTATTCTCTGAAAACCCTCTTTTGTCTGATCACTTCATAATAACATTTACATTTACAATAAAGGATTACACAGAAGTGGGGAATACATTTCATTGTAAATGACTTTCTGATGTAACCGCCTGTCTGTTGTGAATAACTTTAAGAGTATAATTCCTCCACCTTCTTCTACCTGAACTCTCCCATAATTCAAAACAAGCAAATTTTATTAATATAGCGCCAAATCAAAGTTATAGTTTAGTTTGTTTTACAGGATTTTTCACAATATGAAAATACTTTTTAAAAATCGTATGATTCTTAAAAAGTGAAAACCGCAGTTTCTTAAAAATCATGGTTAAAATGTTTGCTGTTATCAAGCATCATGCTATTGACATTTACTTTCTTTTTTTCACGAGTCATATTTCCATATTTAATAGACAACTGTGAGTAAGTATTGTAAAAGTAAAAGTTTCGTAAAGAATATGAATTTCACACCCACACACAAGTCAGGCACTGGATAGGCAAGTTGGAACTGGATAATTTTAACTCGCTTCCTTGTGTTCCCAATGTCCCTGGCACACACTATTTTAAGGAAGTCACACACACTAATTTACAGGACAATATTCTAGTAAACAGTTGTGGGAGCAGAGTAACCCTCCTCTTTTTCAACCATAGTGTGGGTGGAGTCTCACTGAAGGAACAAACTCCTCAAATGCTAAGAATTCCTTCCACATTTGTTTTCAGTCACGGGAAAGGCTGTTGCATTCCCAGACATGCCTGTGGTGTGGAGAGTCCTGCTACTGTCTGCTTGTGTCTACATCAGTCTTCTAGCTCAGACCTATGGAGCTCTGGTTATTTCCAGGAGAGATGCTCTAACACAGGTATCTTAAATAAGCTATGTACACTTTTTGGATGTAAAGAGACTCCTGTTTTAATGTTTTCTTTTTCAGTCCATACTTTTTTTTCATTATTCCTTAATAGACTAAAATTGGGAAAAACTGTGGTGTCATATCTAAACATTTCTTTTGAAAGAAGTGACATAGTTACTTGAAGACATAACTCTAACCTGTAACTCAAATTGTGAGCGTTACAAACTTTGTTTATTGTCTTGTTTTCTTTCATGGTTTCACATTTTTGCAGAGACTTGTAGTCTGGAGTTAGGCTTTTATTTTTGAAAATAAATACGCTTGAGTATTGCACAATACTTCTTCAGTTTATACAGGACAGAGCATGAGTCACAACTCAGGGAGTGACTATTGCATTTACATCTGAGAATCTTTTAGAAGTGCGGTGTCTGGAAAACCTCTACAAGACGTAGAGAAGGTTATTTTAGTTGAGATTAAATATTTCAAAAGCACCAATTTTTCAGATTGGCATAATTGGTACATGGTTTAAAATAAAGCTCTGAGAATTCAATGCAGAGGTGTCGTTGCATGTTGTAGGTGATACAAGCAGTTTTTATACTTGTCTTTTTACAGTCATCTTTTTAATTGTTTAGTAACATTACAGTCATTCTGTGCTGTGTTCCAGGAAACCAAAGAAACCGTGGGCATCAGGTCGATGAAGGTACTCATGTCACAGTGTCTAATTATGAAAGTAGACACATTTGCTGATACTTCATTCTGTGCATTGTTTATATGTCATTCATTTATGTTTTGACCCTGCTAAACACGTTCATGAAACTATTTATCAATTTTCTTTTTACAGAAAAGAAGTTCAAGCTCTGCAAATGTAAGAAACAGAGGCGGACAATTTTCAAAAATAGACCCTGGTCAACATGACTTATAGCTTCTAACTTACAGTAGTGTTACCAGCTTTTTCCAAAATTAAGTCCATACTTCCATTAAAGTTTATCGCTTCCAGCTGCACTTGTCCCACTTGTCCCTCCCCCTGGTGCCCACTGAAAATGTATTTATTTACTCTCTGCTTATAAGAAACTACATGCAATTTTAATGTTAGGGTCTAGGCCATAGGTTTCAAACTCTGGCCCGCGGGCCAAATTTGGCCCGCAGCCTAATTACATTTGGCCGGCGGAGCCATAACAAATTACTATTAGAGCTGGCCTACTGGTATTATACAGCTAATATATATATTGTTTAGTATTAAGCTTTGCTTGTTCCATATTCAGTTTTTCAGCAAAACGTGTTTGAGTCCATAAGAAAAGATTCATTCTTATATGGAGGAAGATTTTTTTTTCAATAAATATTAACGTTAGCTCGCGACTTTGTTCCAGTTTTGCATTTTGGGCCACCGTGTATTTGAGTTTGACACCCCTGGTCTAGGCTATGCAGTGCTGTGAAAAAGTACTTGCCTCTTCCTAATTTCTTTTTTGGCATATTTATCACTCTTAAATGTTTCAGATCGTCAAACCAATTTTATTATTAGACAAAGAATAAATACAACATCCAATTTTTAAATGAGGATTTCATTTATTAATGTAAAAAGTAACCAAACTTATTTGGCCTTATGTGAAAAAGTAAAATCATGAATTAACAACATTAGTTGGAAAGCTGTATTCAATTTCACTAGCCACACCCAAGTGTGATAACTATCAAACCTGTTGAATCAGGGAATCGCTAAAAGTATAACCGGTCTGACAAAGTGAAGCAGGCAGAAAGATTAAACAAAACCATGACATTATCATGCCATAATCTGAAGAAATGGCTGGGAAATAAAGTCAGTGACATCTATCAGTTTGGAAAGGGTTACAAACTATTTCTAAAGCTTTGGGACTCCAGTGAACCATGGCGAGAGCCAATATCCAGAAATTGACCAAAATTACCCCAGAAGCCATCAACAACTCATCCAGAAGATCACAAAGTTCATTCTCTGGAGCTCAAGCACACCTGGGTTATGCAGCAGGACAATGATCTGAAACATACTAGCAAGTCCAAATGGCTCAAAAAACCCCAAACAAACAAACCAAAAAAAAGCAATACAGGCCGATCATGCTCAAAAACCCTCCAGTGTGGCTGAATGAAAATAAGTCAGAAAAGTGGGCCAAATTCCTCCACATGCGAGGTGATTTCAGACTCATTGCCACTTATTACAAATGCTTGATTCCAGTTTGTGCTGCCAAGGGTGGTGCAACCAGTTATTAGGATTAGGAGGGAAAGAGTAGGGAGCCAAATGGATTTAATAACTTTGATAACTTTGTCTCCCTTAATAAATTAAATCATCATTTATAAACTGCATGATCTGAAGCATGTAAGTGTGAGAAATATGAAAAAAAAAAAAAAGAAATCAAGAAAGAGGCAAATACTTTTTCATTTTTCTTGTGCTTTTATTAAATTGGTTGATGTTGTAAAATTTATAATTGTTGGGTTTACACATGTATACCTGTGTAAGACGTCATGTTAATGAACGTATGCATATTCATGTAACCACAATAAAGAGCAGTGCTACGAGGGAGCAGACGAGAGCGACTGGGGTTCGAGCAGAAGGAATGGCGCTCGTCACAGTTCTCTCCCTCGTGCACGAGATCAAACAAAGAGCTCTGCTTGGTGTCCAATGCTTTTTGCTGTTGTAGTAGGATTGTCTCGTTCCAGCGGTGGGTCTGTGCCAGACAGACCTATCAATAATTCTCTTGAACTATACTAATAATCTTTTTCTGTCAGCACATTACATTTTCCATTTATTCAAAAGGTGGAAGTGCAAAGCATTCGAATCACCTGCACCGTGTCGTCTCGTTTCGCACACACGGTCATGTCTTCCAAGGTGCTAAACAAGGAGAACTCATCCCAGGAAATCTTTTTTGAAGTAGAGTTGCCCAAGATGGCCTTCATCACCAACTTTAGCATGTCAGTCAATAGTACAGCATTTTTGACAATGATCATAGAGCGCATCCTCCTTTAATGTTGACACATATCCTCGTGGGTCACAGGGAAATTGATGGTCAGGTGTATGTTGGAGAGGTGAAGGAGAAAGAGAGCGCCAAGGAGCAGTATGAGAAGGCTGTTTCTTCTGGGAAGACTGCTGGACTTGTCAAGTATACTGGAATAAGATAAAGATTAAACATCCCAACCTCCACCCTTAACCTGCAATAATGTAATCCATATCTATTATTGCAGGGCTTCTGGAAGAAAGATGGAAAAGTTTTCTGTATCTGTAAACATTGCTGCCCAGAGCAGCGTGTCTTTCATTCTGATCTACGAGGAGCTCCTTCAGAGAACACTGGGCAGTTATGAGATCTTGATCCGAGTCAAAGTAGAACAACCAGTGCAGGAGTTTCAGGTAGGACTCACTTTTCACTTTTATTGTTCTTCATGATGATTAATGATGGGCTGTCTGAAGTAGTTTGTGTAAGGAACTTGCGTTGACTTAGTGAGTCTTTACGCCATAATGACCTCTTTTTTTTTTTATGCTTCATTTACTTCCATGGATGGTGTGACAGATTGAGGCAGACATCTATGAGCCTCAAGGCATTGCTTTTGTTGAGGCTTCTGCAACGTTCCTCACCAATGAGCTGATCCCTCTGATAGAGAAAACTGTCACAGACACAAAGGTGATATTTTGGCAAGATGTCTGTCCTTGTGTTTTTACAATGTAGCATTTAGGTATAAAGGATATATGTACAATAATCTAAAGTGAAATGAAACTTTTCTGTTTCTCAGGCACACATCTCATTCTCACCAACAGTGGAGCAGCAACAGAAATGTCCAGGTTGTAAGGGCTCATTAATTAATGGAGATTTCATCATCAAGTATGATGTGAAACGAGCAACAAGCCTGGGGGAAGTTCAGGTCAGCTGATGAGACAGAACTTAAAGCAGCACACAAGCAGCCTTTATCTCAGCTAAAGCACAGAATTTTTACTGATCTCAAACACACTCTTATAGACAGCAGTTTTATTTATAGAACTGGAAGCTGCAATCATTATTTTGCTTTTAGTCTTACGTTTACTTCCCTAGCTGTATTTGTCTGCTATACATTTCCTTGCTCATCTTAACCCAAAGTACTCTTTCCCTTCAGGCAGTAAATGGATACTTTGTGCACTTCTTTTCTCCCCCTGACCTGGCCAGAGTCCCAAAGAATGTGGTGTATGTAATTGACACTAGTGGATCGATGCATGGAGCAAAGATTGAACAGGTAGGGGACTAATTAGAGGCAAATTACATACTGTATGCATGACAGTGTGTTCATCTCCATATATGTTTTGTAAACATATAAAGACCCGAGAATCAATGGTTGCCATTCTGCAAGACCTTCACGAAGAGGACCACTTTGGTATCCTCCTGTTTGAGCGTAAGATTAGTTACTGGAAGGATTATCTTACCAAAGCAACAAAGAGAAATGTTTCTGACGCCATTGACTATGTAAAGAAAATACAGGACAGTGGAAGTAAGTATTGCTGAATTTTATGTACAGTAATTTTTTTTCTTTATTCTGCTTATTATCTGCATCATTGAATGAGTGAAAAATGGCAAAATTCTGGGTCATTGACAACTGCACAACAAGGCTGGCATCATTCTGCTCTGTTACTGTTATATAGCTAAAACAAGCAACTTTGTCAAGTTTTGAGTGTGAGGTTGCCACTAAACATGTACAGTTGTAATCAGACGTTTACATAGTCATCACGGGCATGAATTTCATGGTAATTTTGGGCTTTTAATGACTTCTCTAAACTATTCTTTTTCCAGTGTGGATTGATTGTATGGCATACTTTAATGAAACAAATAGACAAGTTTTAATTTATTTATGAATTTCTTTAGTCCACACTGGGGCAAAAGTATACATACACCCATTTAAATCTTGTTTTGACAAGGCCAAGACCTTTTAACTTCTTGTTAATCAGAATCAGAATCAGAATCAGAATACTTTATTGATCCCTGGGGGAAATTATTTTTT